TGGGGTCGTTTCCGGAAAATCTCGCCAGAAAGAGAGAGAGAGAGAGAGAGAGGAAGAATATAAAATTAATTTATTTAAAAGAGAAGAAAACTACATATTTTATGGGGGCTAAATAATTTTATAGAGCTTTTTACGCGAGTCCGTAGAATAAATTTCCAATTCACAAGAGCGAAAAAAGTAGTGTAATAAATTTTAATTAAATCAATAAATACATAATAAATATATTCGGCGCACGTATGACGTAAGACGATGTCAGAAAGCCGTCGCGTCAGCCAAATATTATTATTACTCGCGGTATGTGCGTTTCAGAAAAACCGCTGAATAGAGGATGCGCGCGCGAACGCCCGAAAATAGTCTGGGTACGACGAACTCGCACGCACGGGTGTACATAAAGGCATGTGCACAATGCCAGGGCCTAACCGGCCATCCGATACCGCTCTCTCGGTTGTGCGTGTCACGATTGCGGTCAGTGCTCACGTAATACACGCGTATACGTGCACATCTACACGCGCGCACGGATGCCGATCGACCGATAGACCGACCGACCACTGATACCGTTATCGGCGATGCCGAGGGGCATCATCTCGAACCGGTCTCCCATTTCGTCCTTACTCCTAGCCAACGCTCCTATTATGCAATCGATCCCCGATAACACGTGATAACAAGGGAAGAGGAAAATTTTAAACGCTTGATTACAGAGTGAAATTCCGAATCTTCATCCAACCCCGGCTAGAGATCCCAGTATTACCCCTAAACGATTTAATGAGGATCTGAAGGTGGCGAGAATATATGAATGACAGTGTCGAGGGGATTCTGTCGATGCGCGAAAAAAGAAGGCGATCGATCGGAGACACCCGGTACAGTCATATCATAGTCGCGTTAGAGCCACGCTTTGCCGTTACATAATCGTGCGTCACGCGGCACGGCTTGATACGACTTGAAGAAGCGGCGAGGGGAGAGGCGTCAAAAGCGAGATCGAGAGAATTATATGGGACATTTTAGATCCCCGGAAATACAAAAGCCCGGGCTCGCTGATAATTATCGCGCGGTTACAAATCTCAATTAACATTCGTTTCAGAAGTTTTGGCACGTTTCTCTCTCTCTCTCTCTTTTCAATGAAAAAAGAAACTTTTAATTTTAGAGACTAATGTATTCTCTTTTTTTTCTCTTAAAAATTACTATAATGTACTTGGAGTTAGTCGGTGAACATAATTATTTCAAAACATATAAGCTTTGTTTTATTTTTCTCTTTTCTCTCTTTCTTTCTGTGAGAAAAATACACGTTGGTCTTTTGCGCGTCATCTTTCAGAATGTAATATTATTCACGGATTGTTTATGAGTAGTGGACGCCTTTTAATCGTCGCACGTTTCGACGAGATCTCAATCCACGTGAGATTCTTACGACGCGCTTCGCCGGCCTTCCCCGTTGACACGTGACACGAGCGGATAACAAGCGCGGCCTTTACGCAAAAGCATTTATCCTCGTTACATAATGCACGCGACAACATCGTCACACGATTGACGTATCCCCTCCCTTTTTTTCCCGCGAGCTCCGGAAAGATTTATTCACCGTAATATTACAAAAATTATCATCTTTGAAATATAGCATAATTATTATGTATCTAGTATATAAAATCGTGCAAAAAAAGAGAAAAAAATGTTTTGAATTTATATATATATATA